TGAGCTTGGCGAAGCCGGCGACGTTGCTCGGGATCGGCAGCGACTTGAGGTACTTGGGCAGGCGGATCTTGAGCGCGTGGCGGACGGCTTCCATTTTTCGGAATTCGAAGCCGGGGAAATTCGCTACTGATGCGACCACACGTTCCGCGACCGACGACCGGATACACCATCCGGCGACGTGGTGACGTGGCATAGCCACGCGCCAGTTGCCGTTGCCATCAACCGCACCAAGTGGAAAGACGACCGAGCACGCATGGAGAGTCGATGATCGACCCGTATCGAGGGTGATGACCTTCCTTGTGTATCAGCAGGAGTGGAGTATGAGCCAAGGGCTTGGATACGCGATGTCGTCACAACGGACGCATCGGCAATCCGATATAGAGATACGCGTCTGTCGCGTGATCTTGATTCGACATGGACGCCGCATATGTGGATGGATCTACGTTCAATGCTTGTTGTTTCCACTCGCTTGTCGGGCGTGGGCAGCGGGGACAGCGAAAGCAATGCGCCTCATGTGCAGTGGCCTGGGGAGGCCTTGACGGCGCGGCCTGTGAAGTCTTTTGAAGCGTCGCGGCCTAGAGCCAACAAGAGAACGAAAGACCTTACCGACACCATTCAGCACTTGCTGCGTGGTAGCCTAATATGGTGTTCAAGCAGGCTCCATGCTACCAGAGCAGTGTAGTGTGATGCGCAGAAGAACGCAGAGGTCATCGCCGAGGCGTCGTTATTGGCAGCTGGGTTTGAGGCTCGCCCTGGCCTCGCTGTCGCTCCTGCACCAAGTCCACCATCGCAAAAAGTTTTGCCAGAAAAGATCGCGACGTCTCGGTGCTGGCCAATCAGCGCAGTCTCGGATGCGAGAAGATCCGTTCGCCGACGCCTTTGAGCGCGCTGCATGCAGCGATCCCAATGCCCTGGTGACACCGCACGAGCGGTACGTTTCCTACGAAGACACGCGCTTGATTTGGCCGTAGCTCGACCTTCCTAACGGACCTTCATGCCCGCGGGTTGCTTCCGGACGCGTACTTGCACAAGATCCAAGCCCTCTGGGTACTGCGCTGCCGCAACGCGTTGCCATGTGCATGTTGCATTAGGACAAGGAGCGGGTCAGCGTAGCATTCGAACACTTTCAAGCGCTGTTGACACGCGCGCTTGGCGACGCCAGCGCCGACGAAGCAGCCGCAGCGATCACGACCGAGATCTCGGACAAGGTATTCCGACGCTAGAGCTAGAGAGGGCGACGGCGCTTCTGTGGTAGCTCGCCTTCCTCACTCACCTCGTGCAGTCGTGGGACACGGCGTCGTTTGGTGCCCCCGAAAAGGCGGCGCTGGTGGCCTACACGTCCACGCTCGCAGCCGAGCATGCGGCAGCGGTGGCGCCACTGTAGCTACCAGCTAAAGCGCAAACCAGATGATTAGGAAGACACGGTCGAGCGCATGGCAGCAACGATGGCGGCGGAGCTTCGCGCGCAACAGCACAAGGCGCTGGTGCAAAGCCCAATCGAGTGCCATCCGCAGTATCGAACGACGCCTCGCTTCAACGACACAAAGCACCCGACCACGTACCAAGCAGCGCACTCGGTGCAACTCGAAAAGATTGCTACAAGTCGTGACTTTCACAGTCTTCGGATGCAGACCCCGCGCGAGTCGGCAACCAACGCCTTTGGCGTCCTCGACGTACGTTGCCGGAGTTACTGTGGCGTGCTGTCGTGACACGGTTTATAGGAGCGCTGCGCCACCGGACTGCAGCTGTACCTTCAGAGCTTCGAGCGGTCGACAAGCCGTGGCCGGACCAGTTGCCGTCTCGAAGTCGTCGCAGCTCCAACAACTGCGTACTCCACTGCAGCAACTCTCTTCTTGACGTGCGGGAACGCACATGATGTACGTAGCGTCCTGCTCGAGAGCGTGGCGCGCCTGGATCGACTTGCCGCTGTACACTACGAGGTAGGTAGACCATGTGCACTGGTACAGGGCGCTCATCTGGGATGCGGAGATGGGCCGCAGTCGGTTCTTCCGAAGCTATCACGGCACCGACATGGAAAGCTCGCCCCACTTTACATTCTACTACTTTGAGCATGTCCAGGTAACGCAGGCAGGGAGAGAGAGCGCGACATGGCTCGAGTAGGTCGTTCCGCTCTCGAGCTTGCTCTTGCGGCACGGGTGCCTCCCATCGACCTCCCACTTGTTCAAGTACGTACATGTGATGATTCATACCGGCCTAATGCTTGTATCGACTTGGACTAGGTACCTCGGCCACACGCTTTTGCACGCCTGCGTCGACCTCGTTGAGCAATGCAACCACCGACTCTTTACGCACGTAGGAGACGAGCGCACGACTCCTCGTCGAGTGGATTGTAGCTCATGACGTGGCATCACGTGCTGCTTGCACCCGAGGACCTGCGGCTGTACTGGGCTGCGCTTCCGCTAGGCGAGGCCCTCGACCCATGCGCGCGGTAATTCCATGTTCCAGTATCACTTCCGTATGCTGGTGCGATAGCGACCCGCACGCCTGTCGAGACGACAGTCGAGAAGCTGGTCTGCTAACCTTTGTCGCGACCTGCCTGCGACAACTCCTTTTGCCGACGACAGTGCCCAGCATACCGAGTCTGTTGGAACCTTATAGCTCAGAACTCAAGCGTTTTTGCTCTAGCAACGTCCCAGCGGCTTTTGTTTGAGTTTCCTCGCGTGCTCCAAGCCAACAACGTGGGTCGAACACCGTCGGGGCACCCAATCGTCGTCGTCGGTGTCTCTGACTCATTCGAACTCTACCTCTGCACGGACGACGACGAGCGCTGGGCGTGCTATGCCTTCGAGACCCTCGAAGCTTCCTCGCCCCTTCTCTCGCCGCTCGAGGTACTTGCATTGCATGATCTTCGTCCCTCCAACATACTCAAGGACACGTACGCTCGCAACACCTTTGCGTACTGCGCCATGACGGCTGGCGACGGGCTCTTGGCGTTCGAGACCGTCGGTGGCACCGAGCGCCGGACGATGACCATCCACATCCGCGTCCACGCGCAGCGCCTTTGCCCGGTCTTCGAGGTGCTACTCCGCTTCGAGAAGAACGCGACTTTAAAGATAGCGTGAACTAGGAAATCATCGTGGCCTGCACGTCGGAACCGCCGTCGCTGTCTCTGCATCAGCTCCTACTGCACCCCATCTTTAATGGCTGGGACGACGAGCAAGTGATGCTCGACTACGACGCGCAGTTTCGCTAAATTCCAGTCAAACGGCCAATGCATATTAGGTTATAACAGCACACATCCCGCGGCAAGGCAGCAGCGCTTCATTGCTGTCGCATCTCGGCTGGACACCGGTGTTCGTGGTCTGAACTTTCCCAGTGCAGCGTCATTCGCAGACATCAACGGAGCGCGCTACTCGGGTGGCGACTTGCATCGGCTACATAATGGCGTGGAGGACAACGATAGCACCAGCATCTCGAGACGGCCACCCGATAGGTTTCATGGCCGCCCGTCATTCGCTTGGTGTTGTCCACGGCGCCGGAGGTTGATCGGCATCAACGTTGAGGCGATATGGCCCCGATTACACTTGTCACGCGCCGCATTCTTCTTCCTCAAAGGGCGCAGCAACCGGGGCGGGCGGCACGCTTGAGACGACGTCGGCGTAATCGTACTTCGCTTCGTACGCGCCGTAGTGCTTGCTTATCCACGCGACAAGCGTCACGTCAATGCTGGCATTCCACATGGACGCCGTCGACATTTGGAAGAGCCCGATCCACGAGATGAAGTTGATGAACTTGGTCTACACGAGAGCACAATCCAGAGGCGAGCACGCAGCGACGTGTACCATGGGCGCGTACGCGTTGTAGTAGCGCAGACTCTGGAGCACTTGCAGCACGGGTTGCGAGAGCACGAGCGGGAAGGCGAAGACGCACATGAGGAACGGCCCGTACCCGCGGCGCTTGGCGGCGCCAATGTACAGCGTGCGCGCCGTGTAGCCGACGAGCAGCATGGTGATGATGACGGCCAACTTCTTGGAGAGGAGGAGCGTGCTGGACGATGCCGTCGTGCCAGCACACGCAGTCAAAAAGTTGGTCGCCACCACCGGCCACGATCAGCAGCCCACAAACGACGGGATGTACAGCTAGCATACCATCGCATGAGCGGCGGCGAGTCTACGAGACAGGGCGTACCAGCGATGTGACCAACGACGAGTACGCCGAGCGCAGCGTGCTCGTGACGCCGCTGTCCATGGCGAAGGCCGGCTTGGCGTTGTCGTACGGCAGCAGCGCGTCGCCGTCCTCGTCTTCGAGGCCGCTGTGGGCGCCTCGGTGATGGACTGTCGACTCGGCCATCGTGGCAAATTGGTCACTGCCGCGTTGCAAATTGGTCACAGGACCTCTATAAATGAATATGCGATCAGTTTCCGTGGCGTGGCAGCTCGCCGCCGATTGGCTCCTCGTGTCTGTATCTTGGTTCTTATTGGTCCGCCTCTCCCTGACTTGTCAGCCAAACTGGATCTGGGTCATCAATCTGATGAGCGAGATGAGGTGTTGTCAGATCTTATTATTGTGAGCGATCACCGGCAGCAAAAGCGGACGTGGGCAGGCACCGCAAGGCGGCGCCCGAGCGCATAGACCGGCGTCGCGCAGAGCACCCGCATGGGCTTGGTCGGCGGCGGGTTCGCGGCGAGGGCCTTGGGCTGCGGCAGCATGTCGAAGAGCGTCTTCATGCGGCGCTGGGTGAGCGGCGGGAGGCGGCGGGTCGTGAGCCCGGCGTACACGGCCTCTTGCTTGCGAAATTTGGCACGTGCGATCTGCTGCACCTCGGGCGCGTAGGCGGAGAGGCGCTGGAGGTCGTTCTGGAGGCGCCAGAGCGCGTGGCGGTCGCGCGACTGCTGCCGGCGCAGGTCGACGTCAGCGTCCTGGATGTGGGCGCGCATCGCGACAAACTTGGCGATGAGTGGCGACGTCGTCATCCCTTCTACTTCGTCTTCTTCGTCTTCTGGCCGTTGAGAGAAAGTGGCGGCCGAGAACAAGGTCAACAAAGGCTGGCTACTCGCCATCCCAAATGTCGAGCGCAATTGGCCTATCCAGTACACATCCCAGGCGTCGAACCGTCGACATCGCTCCGCCGATGGCCTTTTCTGTACTACGTAAGGCAGTCGACACCCTGTCGCTACACGCGCCAGCTGCGTGCCCATCGTGCTTCGTCGCGCTACAACATTCGGAAGTGATGCGCAAGCGAGTTCATTGGCGTCTTAGTCGTCCCACTCCATTGGCCGAGACGCTACGTCGACGCCGGGGCATAGACGGTGTAGTTGGTAAACACAGTGTGCGTCGGCGTCCAAAAGGGCACATAGAACGCACGCGCGATCCGGTCGGACGCCTCGGCGAGCAAGAACGGTTCCGCGTACACCGGGGTCCACGCCGGGTTCGCGGCCAAGCTCGGTTCGTCCGGGTGCCCCATCGATTGCGGCACGTCCCGATCGATGACAAAGTCGCACGTCGCCAAGTCCACATAGCGCGACACCTCTTCCAAGTTGAGGTCGTTCATGTGGTCGGGCACTTGAAACGTCGATACAAAGTGGGCTGGGAGCTGCCCGCGGAAGCCGCTGCGGAGGAACGCCATGCGCGCGTGGTTGGGCAAGAAAAAGTGCGACGGAAACCGGTGCCACTCCTTCCCGACGCAGACGCGGAGCGGCGTCGAGGCATTTGTACTTGCTTCAATGTGGTCGTGGAGGAACTGGTAGACCTTGAGCGGCGCGCCGTACTGCGTCGTGATGCTGATAACCCGCATCGTCGAGAGAGCCACGTACGCACTCACCGCCAGCGTCACGAGCACGGGCGCGATCGGGCGTGCGACGCGACGAGCGAGGCGGAAGATGGTCGTGAGCGTCCAGCCGGCCGCCAAGCACAAGTACGGGTACACGGGGTACAAGAAGCGTTCTTCCTTGTGCGGCTGGAGAAACATGATGCCGAGCCAAAGGTAGAGCGGGAGGATAAAGACCATGCGCAGACCGCCGCTGGCGAGGGCGATGGGCACGCTCACGACCGCGAGGGGCAGGCCCACGTTGAAGTTGAGCGCGAGGTTCAGGGCGTAGTACGTCCATGGCTCGACGCCGTAGAGCTCCGAGCCCGCCGAGACGACGTTGTAGAGCACGATGTTGACGGCCGGGAGTAGCCAGGCGTGGTAAAAGTAATAGTTGGTCCCGACTTCGAGCCCGACGACGAGCCCGAGGACGAGGACGCCCGTCAGGATCGGCCGGAGGACGCCAAACGCGACGACCGACTGGAGCGCAAAGGGCACGCACATGACGCCGACGTACGGCCAGCCGCAGACGACAGCGATCACGCCGGACGCGAGCGCAGGCGCGCTGAAGCTCGCGCCTTGCGTCGTCATCCAAAAGCCCGAGAAGAGCATGAGCATGTACGTGACAAAGGAGCTCGGGAGAAAGGCCGTTGACGCTTGGAACATGCCGCTGTTGCACGCAAGGAAGACCAGCGTGTAGCGACCCACGCGCGGGCCGTAGGCTCGGACGACGCCACGGTAGAAGGCGGCTTCGCAGAGCGCGGACGCGAAGCCTAGTGCCGTGCGCAGGCCAAAGAAGAACGCGAGCTTCGACGAGCCAAAGAGGACACCGCCCGCGACCTTGCCCACGACGCCGTGCACGACGAGGTACAAGTACGACCGCAGCGCGTACACGGGGCTGTACTCCCACGTCTGGAAGCCATGGCCGTAGAGGATGTTGTGCAGCGGCTCCCAGTAGTTGTACGCTTCGTCGCAGTCCGACTGGATGTTGACGAGCGCCGAGATGAGCCGGACGATCGCGAGGAACGAGAAGGTTGAGTGCAGATTGGGCGCCCACAGGCGGGCGTCCTCGTCCTGAGGCGGCGCCGCCTTGCTCGGTGGCAGCGACGGCTTGCTCGGCGGCGGGCTAGCGGCCCCACGTCGACGCGCTGGCATATTGAGTGTGACGCAGAGCTGTGACGCAGCACGACGCGTTTTTCGACTTGCCCAATTCGGCATTATATGCCACATTTAAAATTAATTTCGGCACGGACCCGCCAGCTGCAGGACCCGTGCTCGACACGGAGCCAGCGATGTAGCGATCCAGCGACAGCAACGTAGAGGAAACAGGGCTGGCAATGCGAGGCGAGCAGGGAGCCACACCAAAATCGTTCACTTCGTACAAGTCTCTTAGTATGGACAGGCAGGGCTACGTGAGCCATACGGGCCAGCGAGCTCAGCTCGAGCTTTCGCCGTCTCCCTCCTCGACCTCCTTAAACTCGTCATCGAGCCCCATGACGGGGATCGGGGCCGTCATGTGCACGTCTTCGGAGGCACTATCGTTGCCCGCCGTGTCCTAGAGACCGAGTTAGGACCTGAGATCTTCTAGATTCACTACGTACTTGGCCTCCGAGCTGCTGTAGAAACTCCTGTCGGAGCTTTTCGTGGGCTGGGATCGGCTTGGTAAAGCGCAGGCTCGAGCCCGGCTCGTTTTGGTACATGGTCTCAAGGGACTTTTCGACGCACGCGTCGATCTGCTCGACGTATGATTCCGGGTGGCGTCGGAACCTACGTCGCATGAAGCCTCTCTACCGAGGAACTCTCTCACATTTCCAGTGCTCGCGGGTTGGCGACGTTGCGCAGGTCCGAGGCAAACTCCTTGGTGTAAAAAATGCTCTTCATGTACACGAGGACCGACACGATGTAATGAAGGTCCGGGTCCCACGTCGGAAACTTGGGCAGCAAGTCGAGCTCGTTCGTCTAGAGACGCAGGTTAGACCACGTCGGTAGTACATGTACGCACGTCAGGGTTCACGAACGGATGGAAGACCTTGGTGTAGAACTCGACGCGCGGGTACGTGCCAATGCCGTTGTAGCTACGACCAGCCAGCGAAAATGAGGTTTCGCCCATCGCAATGGCGTCTACTCGTCTGGAAGATGGATCGAGAACTTGAAGATGCCATTGCGGTACAGGCCTTGGTGGATGAAGATGACACCATGCCACAGACGGGGCTTGTCAAAGCTCGGGAGGACGTAGATGCCACTGGGCACATGCTGCTTCATGTGCTTGTACTCGATCATGAGTCCGTAGTCCTTCATCGTCTGCGTCCGGTACTGGTGCAGCGACGTGAGGTTGGCGGCCTCGGGCTTCTTCTGGCTCGGCGCTGGCGACGTCATGGGCCTTGGCAGCGATGGGTTCACGTATTTAAACGCCCGAGCTTCCTCCATTCCGGATAAGTCGGTTCTGGATACAACCTTGGGACCAGTTTTACCTCTGCAACTCGATCTTTCGGCCTGTCTATCCGTACACTAATGGCACGCAACTATACAGCCAAGAAGACGCTATGGCTATAAAACTACATCGTAAAGCAGCGTGGAAATAGCTGCCTGGCCGTCAATCAAAATGCGATCGAGATATTCATTGATAGAGGTTGAACGCGCAACCTTGGTGGTTGGTTTTCACACTTCAACCCGGAAGATGAAGTTCGACGAGTGCCAACCTCCGCTCTGCGCCGAAGTCCTCGCGGGCGTCGCCGAGATGGGCTTCACGGACATGACGCCTGTCCAGGCCGCGACGATCCCGCTCTTCCTCACCAACAAGGATGTGGCCGTGGACGCGAGCACGGGCAGCGGCAAGACGCTCTCGTTCGTGCTGCCCATCGTCGAGATGCTGCGTCGCCGGTCGCAAGCCACGACGGACGACGACGCGGCCAACATCGCCACAAAGAAGCAGGTGACGCAGCTCATGGCGATGATCCTTTCGCCGACGCGCGAGCTGGCGCGCCAGATTTACGACTGCGCGTGCTTCTTCTTCTCGCGGGCGCTGCCGAGCGTGCAGGTCATTCTCTTTGTCGGCGGCACGAGCGTCGACGAAGACATGGCCTCGATCCGCGCCGCGAAGGGTCGCATGAGTGTCATCGTGGGCACGCCCGGCCGCATTGACGACATCCTCAACCGCGTCTCGACCATGGGCATCCTCGAAACCAAGGAGTTTGAAGCGCTCATCCTTGACGAAGCCGATACGCTGCTTGACATGGGCTTTGAAATGAGCATCACTGCGATTCTCGGTCGCTTGCCCAAGCAGCGCCGGACAGGTCTCTTCTCGGCGACGCAGACGCAGGAGGTCAAGGCGCTCGCGCGCGCCGGTCTTCGCAACCCCGCGACCGTCTCCGTGCAGCTGGCCGTCGACCAGAAGACGCCGACGACGCTCACCAACTGGTACGCCGAGGTCGAGTACGACGCCAAGCTTGCGGCGCTCATCCAATTCGTCGCGGCGCGCCCGAATGAGAAGTGCATTGTGTTTCTATCCACGTGCGCGAGCGTCGACTTTTTCGGCAAGGTGCTCGAGATGCTCCTGCCCGAGATCGCCGTCGTGAGCCTCCACGGCAAGATGGTGCCCAAGAAGCGCATCGCCTTCTACGAGGCCTTTGTCAACCAAAGCGCGGGCCTCCTCGTCTGCACGGACGTCGTCGCGCGTGGTATCGATCTCCCGGACGTCGACTGGATCGTGCAGTTTGATCCGCCGCAGGACCCCAACTTTTTCGTGCATCGCGTCGGTCGCACGGCCCGCGCGGGTCGCAACGGGTCGGCGCTCACCTTCCTCTCGGCCAACGAAGACGCCTATGTCAACTTTTTGCGAATTCGCAAGGTCCCGGTCGCCAAGATGGACGACCTGATCGTCGACGACGCGAAGCGTCTCGATGTCCTCGAGAAGGTCAAGGCCTTCCAGATGACGGACCGCGACGTGCTGGAGAAGGGCACGAAGGCCTTCATCTCGTTCCTGCGCTCGTACAAGGAGCACCAGTGCCAGTTCATCTTCCGCTTCCGCGACTTGGACTTGGCGCGCGTCGCGGTCGGCTTTTGCCTCTTCCAGCTGCCGAAAATCAACGAGCTCCGCGCGCTCGAGTCGATTCAGTTTGAGCCCGCCGGTGTCAAGGTCGTCGACATTCCGTACAAGGACAAGGCGCGCGAGAAGCAGCGCCAGGCCAAGCTCGTCGCGATCGCGGCCGAGCACAAGGCGGAGAAGCTCCAGAACTTCGAGAAGAAGCAAGAGAAGAAGCGCAAGGAGCTCGAAGCCAAGACGGACGGGCCGCGTCGCCGAGAGAAGAAGAAGGGCGCGCACCAGCAGATCGTCGAAGAGTGGGACGAGCTCGACCGCGAAGAGCGCTTGTATAAGAAGTTCAAGCGCGGGAAAATCTCCAAAGCCGAGTACGAAGACGCGCTGACCAACACGGTCGCGTCCGACTCGGAGGCCGGCAGCGACGACGAAAACGACGGCGACGATGGTCCGAAGAAGAAGAAGGCTAAAGTCGACAAGCGCTTCGAGAAGAAGGAACAGATCAAGCGCAAGACAAGCGAACAAAAGGAAGAGGCCAAGAAGCGCGAAGCACGTATCCGCACGCGCAAGAAGCAGGAGCACGTCAAGCGCGCGCAGGCCAAGGCCAACATCCGGAGACGCTAAACTATCTCGCCTCGTTTTACTTAACCAAAATACACTCGGTACATAGAATTATGCCATGCTGCTTTCTTGTCGTCGTCTTGGCAGCAAGTACATCCAGCACGCACTTTACAATTGACGGGTTCATCCATACACGGTGCCCTTCTACCTTCTAGACGTTTTGCACGTTGCGTATTTGAAGTCTCAACAACTACCAACAACGCCGTTGCGAGCGAGTGCGACGAAGTGCGAACCACCTCGGACAGTGGCCGTTGCGCTGACCCGACGCAGCGTTCACAACGCGTCGGGTTGCGTTGTCATCGACTCGAGCGCGACGAGGCGGCAAACTGCGGTCGCTCGAACGGCAATGCATCTGCCATCCGATTGGCCTGCGCGCTTGCTCGCCGTGCCACTGACGCAAGCATCCAGCCTCCCGTCGTCGGCTTATTCTTATTCGAGATAGAGGGGTCGAGAAAGACAGCAGTGAACAGGGACTAGGGTTGGGAAACGTGTCGTTTTGGTCGGGTCTAGCGGCTTATAACCTCGGATTCCAAGGAGCTACTATTGCCGAAGGCTGGGGGGCATCGTCCACGTCGCCGCGCCCGTGATGGTGTTGTAAAAGTAGCCTCGGCCCGTTGTGGGATCTACAGCGGCTTGGTACGTTGCAGCGGCCACCGCGCGGAGAGCACGCCGGGCTTGACGCCGGCGGTACAGTCCTTGGATCTTCATAGCGGCCTCTTGGAGCCCAAGCGCGCGTCGGCGCGGGGCAGGTTGGCGGAGTAGGCGCAGCGCCCAACTCGCCGTCGCGTGGCCCGACGGGTACTGCGTAGCAGAGAACTTGGTTCGAAGCGCCTCGAGAAGGAACTTGGCCGAGTGCACGTGTGTCGACGAGAGACACCGCCGGACGTCGCCTACGCGATGGTGAGGATGCTGGCGATGCTATCGTGGGACGCGACCGTGGCCGAAAGAGGTGCCCGAGGA